ACCAGAAAAAGAGCATTCTATTACAATAATGGGTTCTGTTTAAAAAAATTTAAATGTCAAATCCCGAAAGAAATAATACATATTCGATAACTACTATTGGGACATCAATACCAGTGATTGTATGAGGTACTTATATTTAGTATTGTTCATATAGTAAAGGGATTTTATGTAAACCTTTCAGTAAAATTATTGTGTTAGAGGAAAATGAGGAATAGCATCACTCATTATTCAGTCGATCAATATATATTGATTAGTCTAAATGCTGGGGATGCAAAAAATGACTAGATCATCTTCTTGCCTTCAAGGAGTTCACATTCAAGTTGAGGCAGATATCGTGGCTGACTATCATAAAATGTTGCAACAGATATGATGGAGATCCCAGTGGGGCCATGGAGTGCCCTACAGGAAACTATTAATTCTGACCAAAGGGGTCCTTGCTGTCCTTAGTGGCAATGTCCTTAGCTTAGAAGCTGAGCTGAACCTTAATATATCAGGATGAAGCACATACTAGGCAGATGGATCAGAATGGGCAAAAATGTAGCAGCAATTAATAAATAAATAAATAAATAGAAATAAAAAAGCACAGTACAAACATTTAGGGACTGGTGAGTGATTTTGTGTAGCTACGGAGGTAAGCCTGTCAAACTGTGTCTATTGTCAAATGACGAACTTTGATGGACTACTTTGAGTTAAAGAAACTTGAATGACTTTTGAGTAGTATAATTTCATAAAATGAATGTATTTTACAATATACTCCATAGGGCCAAAACAATGAGAGTAAGAGACAAAATGCTCCATGGAATAAAAAATTGTCATTCTCATCATGACTTATCTGTGAACTTATGAAAATACATTTATAATAAGAAATGCAAGAAAATTGCTCACTTCACCTGCTTATGGATGGATTGAATCTAATTTGTAGCATTAAAACCAATTTTCCACAGAGAAAACATGTTACGGAGGATTGCATGAACTTTTATAATTATCAATAATATTTGATATTTTCATGTCACGTTTCATCTTGAGATCAGTCCCATACACATGGGAACAGATAAGCTCGAGGGAAACAGAGATAATATTAATACAGTAAGTCCCAATGCTTTTTTAAATCTTCCATTTTCCAAGGTTTTTTTTTTTTTTTTTTTTTTTGCTGTGTGTTTCTCTTACCTTTGTAAGTTAGTAGATATAGTTGTAAAGCAGGGAGTTTTTTTTATCAGCTCCTGTACAAGAAGTCTTACACCGGAGTACTGGCCACATCTTTCCATTCACAGCTCTCCTGGCCAGATCAGCCTTTGACATATCAATTCCCCTGCTCCTTGGCTTCTTTGCCTGGTGCTCTCCTGAGTGGAGGACATGCCAGCAATGGTCTGTGTCTTCATAGATTCTTCAGGTTCTTTAAGAAAGTAACAAAGCATCATCATCATCAACGTCATCATCATCAACGTCATCATCATCCTCACAACAATCCCCACTACTGCGCTACTAACGCACTTTCTATGCCTGCACTATTTTACTATTCTGATAACTTTATATATACACAATATTAACTAATTTCACACCAACATTATAGGGTAGTGCTTTCCACTGGAACTTTCTGTGGTAATGGAAATATTCTGTATCTGTGCTATCCAATATGGTACCACCAACCACACCGAGCACTTGAAATGCGGTTCGCACTACCAAGGAATCTCATTCTTCTTTTATTTAATCTTAATTAATTTCATTGAAACAGCCATATGGCTAGTGACTATTGTATTGGACAACACAGTGAGAGCAGCTGGTGGTTTATTTTTATTTTTTTAAAAAACAAAGCTCTGTTTTCATCATCAGTAAGAACTGAATGACTAGTGTGAGCGAACGGTTCTGAAAGATTCTTGAAGCTATAAATATTTTAAAAGACTTTGCATCTTTTACATTTGGGGAACTTTTACTCCACCCTTCCCCCACCCTGTTAAAATTCGATTTAAAAGATTTCCTTGGAATATATAGAGTAACATGGAGTCATTTCTGAACAAGGAACACTTGCAGAAGATGAGGATGATGATTTAAATGGAGTTTCACTGTTGTCCAACCATCCCAATGGCCAGCAAGGACAGGCACTAGTCCATCTATTGCAAATTGAAATTCCAGTGACTGAACTTTTAAAGGAAGATGTTCACTTCCACTTATAAAATGGAATAACGAAAGAGGGTTTTATGTTTTTGGGTGTCCATGGAGGAACACAGTCTTCAGATAAACTTTTAATTCATATTCAGCCGTCCTCTCACCATCTCCCCAGGCTTCCTCTGGTCTGCGTGTGAAAATATGGGAATAAACTTCTTTAAGGCGAAGATACTGATCGGAAGACTTAGTCCACTCTGTAACTTGGACTGTTAGCACCGCCAGAGAGAGAGAACTTAAGCGGCCTTTGTTTTGAACCATCTGTCGCGAAAATGTGACATATGTTCGCTTTGTTTACTCAACAACCAAGTGTAAACTGATACACTGAACTAGAAATCTGTGTATGGTGTGATCGTGTGCGTGTGTGCTGGGGAGGGGTGTCTGATGAGGGCGTCAGTCTCCTCGTACCTGCCCCTGGGGAACGAGCACGTGCACAGCAAACCAAGAGCGCGGATCGGCGGGATGTCCCTGGGGCAGGCGGCGCGCACTGAGGCGCAGACCCCAGTCGACGACTCCAGACGATGCGCAGCGCACGCAGGCGGCCGCCGCAGCCGAGAGGCGCGCCGGGCTGATGTGTAGTTGCAGGGGAGCTACCCACCCCTCCTGCTCTTCTCCCCGCCCTCGCACCCGGGGCTCAAACTTCAGCCAAAGCCCGTGCCCTTTTCAATTAACCCCCCTCGATCAAAACGAGCGTTTCTTTTCTGTCCTCTGCGGCGGCCCATTGTCTGGTGTGATGGGTTTGCAGATTTGGCAGCTGAGCCCACACAGACTTGATTCAAACTCTTTTTTTTGTTTTTTTCCCTGAGAGATGAACTTGGACATCAGCAAAGATCCCGAATACAAGCTCTGAGGGGCCGGACGGCCACCACTACCGCGGGCTGTCCCCCCACACCGGTCTCTTGAACCAGTGTAGACTGGGGTGCCCCGGGCGCCCCCCGGCGTGAGGGAAGGGGAGCGTGTGTCCGGGGCGGGGTAGGAGGTCCAGCCGCATGGATGGGAACGGGCGGGTCCCAGGTGTTGGGGTGAAGGGCTGTGCGTGCGTCTGGATTTTTTTTTTTTAAATCGACTCTTGAAACAGCCAAGATGGAGGTCAGCTTATAAATTTCCCAAAGCCAGCTCTCACCGGGTTCAAATGCAGTGGGCTTGGGGCTGCGCTTTTGTCTCGTTGTCCACGCTCAAGGAGAGAGCTAGAGACTGCGTGTGCACGTGTGAGTGTCTGTGGGTGTGAGTGCGCGCGACGGCGTGGACGAACGGGTGGGGGCATCCCGCGATCGCCGCTCTGGGCCTGTTTCTGAGTGTGTCTTCAACGCGCCAAGTCTTGAGTCACAGCCGCGAGTGACGGGGGTGGGGGGAAACTTTGTGTTAGGAAGAAGGGTCTGGCTGGATTGCTCCAAGAAGAAAGAACCCTTGTGTATTGTGCCCTTGTGTGTGTGTGTGTGTGTGTGTGTGTGTGTGTGTATGTGGAGAGAGAGAGAGAGAGAGAGAGAGAGAGAGAGAGAGAGGCGCGTTGGGGAGAAAGACAGGGAGAGGTGAGGTGACTGGCAGCGCCTGGCGGGCTGCATAGCGCTGGGCGTCCGGTGCGCGCGCGCGGGTCCCACCGCGGGAGAGCGTGTGCATCCGCGGCGACCGTGTGAGCGAGCTTCGGAAGGGACTGGCGGGTGTGCTGTGGGACGACGCGAGCAGGAGAGGGTGCTCTGGCCAGGAGAAATCTGGACTCGGAACACGCCATCCTCCGCGCCGCTTCCAATAACCACTAACATCCCTAATGGGCATCCACGCTGGAGGCTCTGCTCGGAAATCGTCCGGCCCAACTCGGCCCTTTGAGCTCTAGAAGATTATCGCTCTTTTTTCCCAGCGCAGAGAAAGTGAGCCCGGAAAGGGAAGGAGGGGGCGGGGACACCCCTCAAAAAATAAATAAACAAACTGGCTCCTAGCCGCAGCTGGACGCGGTCGGTTGAGTCCAGGTTGGTGGCAGTTGGACAGAGTTTTCTCCTTCTCATTGGGAGCCCATCGCCGCCCCACGCCCTCCCTCCAGCTCCCTCTTCCAGTCTTGCCGGCGCCCCCCAACTTTGGGTCCCGGGGGGGGGCGCTCGTGGCGCGGGGCTGCACCTGCCCGGCGCGCGGGGGCTGCGGACCGGCGCGCTCTCCCGGGGCGGTGCTGTGGATGCGCCCGACTCCCGGGCGCTGGGCCAGTGTGCGAGAGGCGCGGATGCCAGGGGGGGAGCGGAGGACTAGCGGCGGGTAGGGGCGCACGATCCGGGTTTCGGCCCCAGCCGGGACGTGGGTTCCCCAGCTGCTCTGAAAGGAGGCGAGGTCGGGGAGGCGTCCATCGGGGGGAGGAGGACAAGGCGACTGGGGGGTAGCGATTGGTGGCTTGGGCAAGGAGGGCCGGCGGCTGAGCGAGCGAGAGGGCGCGAGGAGGGGGCGGCCAACTTCCCGGGAGAAGGGGCTCTTTCCACGCCAGGGCTGGTTGGGGAGCTGCCGCCGCCGTCACAGGCGCCGCAGCCGCCAAGGCTCCGACTCCAGGCAGGGGCCGGCTCCGCCGGCGGCGCTCGGAAAGTAACGCTTATTTATTTGCTTTCCTTCAGCCTCTTGGGTTGCACCCGATAGACACCCCCTTGGACTTTGGGAGCCCATGTCGGACCTCTCCAGCCCCCTCCCCGCCCGTGCTGGCGGCCTCCCCGGAATACACTCACATGCACCCCCCGCCCCCCGACCCGGATGGGGGTGGGTCCTCGCCCCGGCCTTAGAAAGTCCCCCAAGGCGGGAGCGGGGGAGGGGAGACGGGCGGTGGGGGGAGGGTCCAGCCCTATCGGCTCTCTTTTCAAAGCGCGCTCTCCCTTCCAGGTTGGGTCGGACCTGAACCCCTAAAAGCGGAACCAGCTCCTGCCCTCGCGCCCGCCGCCTGCCCGGAGCTGAGCCGCCGGCAGCGGTGGCGGCTGACCGACCGGGAGTTTCTTCTCGCCCTGGATGGAGCTGAACTTTGGGCGGCCAGAAGAGCGCAGCCGTCCGGGGACCGCTGCATGCTGAGCTCCCGCGGCGAGACCCTGCGGCGGCTCGGGATCTTTTGGGGGGCGGGGACCAGCTGCGCGCCGGCACCATGTTCCTGGCGACCCTGTACTTCGCGCTGCCGCTCCTGGGTAAGTTGAGGCCGCCGCTGGCTTTCTTATTCTGAGTCTTTCGGAGGGTTACTTGCGGCATCTCCCCCCCTCCCCCCCAAATCGCGGCGCGGTGCGGGGGGTGTGCGAGGAAGAAGTTTCATTTTGGGGAAGGGGATCGTGAATCCCCGGGCTTGGGAAGCGGTGGCGGCGCGGCACTGCCTGCAGCTTTTCGTGCTTGGTTTTTATTTTCTGTGGTTTTTAATGACCCCGCCTGGCGGGGAACTCAGGGGTCCGAACCCTGTAGCCCCGGGCTCGGCGCCCCTTGCAAGTCCCGGGGAGCTGGCGGAAGCGCGGCGGGCAGGTGGAATGTGGGTAAGCCTTGGGCAGGGATAGCAAAGTTCCAAGGGAAAACTTTTCCCCGAATAGCGTCTCGGCGCTCCTCGCCGGGCCGGCAGCGGAACACGGCTCGCCCACCCCGCGTGTAGTCCTCCACCGCGCTCCTCCTCGGAAAGCCCAGGGGCTTCAGCCGGGCCGGGCTGCTCCTGCGCGGCGGGGCCCGCGCGCGCGGTGGGCAGCGCAGACTCCGGGGCACAGCGCGCAAGGCCGGCGGGTTGAGCCTGCGCCACCTCTCCTGTGGGCCCGGGAGGACGGGGATGGCGAGAAGTTCCGGGGCGGGAAAATGGACTCGAGTAGTGGAGGGGGGACCCGCTCCCTGCGCAGGGCGCCCCCTTAGGCTGGTCCAGCATCCTCGTCCTCCCCCGGGCGCCCTCCCCCGGGGCGCGGACGTCGGGGTCCCCGCCCGGCCGCGCTCAGGTTCCCTCCCTTCCACCCCTCAGACTTGCTCCTGTCCGCCGAGGTGAGCGGCGGGGACCGCCTGGACTGCGTGAAAGCCAGCGATCAGTGCCTGAAGGAGCAGAGCTGCAGCACCAAGTACCGCACGCTGAGGCAGTGCGTGGCAGGCAAGGAGACCAACTTCAGCCTGGCATCGGGCCTCGAGGCTAAGGGTGAGTGCCGCAGCGCCATGGAGGCCCTGAAGCAGAAGTCGCTCTACAACTGCCGCTGCAAGCGGGGCATGAAGAAGGAGAAGAACTGCCTGCGCATCTACTGGAGCATGTACCAGAGCCTGCAGGGTACGCGCCCGCCGCCCTGCCCCCGTCCCATCCCCGTCCCACCCCTTTCCCTTCCAGAAGGCAGGCTGGCCCCTAGGTCCCTGGGCCAGCTGATCTCATGCTCCACTCACGGCTCCCCAGCTGCGGAGTGAGGACCTTTCATTGGCCCCCAGGGACATCGGCAGCTGGTGTTTGCTGCAGCCCAGCAGGACTGTGGGGCCTGGTTGTTGGAAAACCCATGAGGGCGTCGGGAGAGGGGGGGCGTCTCCGGGACCCTGCTGACCTCTCCAAAACCCGGTCAGAGCATCGGAAAAGGAACCCGTTATAAGGCCACCCAAGGAACCTCGGATTTCTCTCCAAGAGAACAGGCCTGAGGTCTTAGCTGGCTTCACAGAATAATAATACAAAGGCTTGCTCTGCATCTTGCCTGGGGTTTTCTGCCTTCCTCCCTTCCACCTATTCTAAGATAAAGAAGTGTAAAAGGTCCGGTAGAATCTATTCTATCTTTGCCCCCTTCAAACGTGATCAAAGGCAGATGTGTGAGAAACCATTTGTCATCTTAGATTAGCTGAGTCTTGAACCAGCTGGTTGGTTCAACCTTGGTTAACACAGAAGTGTCTCAGGGAGAGGAAGATCCACTTGGAATGGATGGTCACAGCCATCCATTCCAATGATAATTTTTGGTTCTTGAGTGCCACACGTGGCTCACGTTTGCAAATCTAACACTAGCATCCTGTGCATTCATTCTCCACTGAGACTCACACTAAGAATTTGTAATACACAGATTTGACCTGTCAGCTGCCACTTCCTCCAGAATCTATTGATGAAAACTTATTTCAGAAATGGACAGTTTGATTGCAGGGGTACCAGCTTTCTGAGCACATGCCATGTTTGGGGAGCAAACAAATGGGGGCCTCTTCTGGGTCACCTTTCTTCCATTGGCTCTAGGAGGTAAGCCGTGCTTGTGACGTCACTGGCTCTTTCCTCTCTGATTTCATTGCTTTGCAAAGAGTGGGAGAGTTTTCTGGCAAGATCAGGCTGGGTTGTTCGCCAATGTTTTCATGGCACTCTGGGGAGAACAAGGACAACAAAGGCAGAGGGAATGAAAAGAAATAACTGTAGCCAAATAGATGCATTTGAAATTTTTTAAAGTTTCAGCATCTTTTTGTTACACTATCACCAAATAATTAGAACTCAAATTCAACAGTGAAAAACTGCTTTAAGTATATCTGTTTTTAAGATCTAAGCCCAATCTTTCTGTTTTAGGAAATGATCTGCTTGAAGATTCCCCATATGAACCAGTTAATAGCAGACTGTCAGATATATTCCGAGTGGTCCCATTCATATCAGGTAAGCAGACTTATACTTCCACTCCGATGCCTTCGCCTGCTTGAAATTCCTTGGCTTGCATTCTCTTTGGCTCTCAAATGGTGTATAAGTAGATAGTTGAACAGCACAATGTTTCTGGGAAATTAGAAATAGGATGATGATAATGAAGAGGCAGAATGCCTAGAGATGATTGTATGACTTGAAAGTAATTCTAAATGAAGTAATATGGTGTGGTGGTTTTTGGAAGAGGTTGGAGGGAGGAGACTTGGTTGAATTTTTTTTTTCCCACATTTAAATTTGATTGGCCAACTCTTGCAAAGGGAGTGCCACTTCTGTCTGTAGGTGGCAATCGTATTCTCTTCTTGCTGCATACCTTACACAGTGCCTCCCTGGAAATGGGATCCGTTCAAATGATGCCACTTACTTTAGGAGATGCCTGAAGATAATCTTAGGTCGTTGCAGAACTTTGGGTGGACTCACTTGTCTGCCTTTGATTTAAAAGATTAAGCTCTACCATTTAACAGTTTTTCTGTTTCTAATTTTTCCGGAGCAACTATATGCATTAAGAAGAGAATGTGTTCCTGCCCCAATGGCCCTTTAAAATGTAGTTTCACTTCCCATGGTTTGTTTTGTCTGTCTTTGCAGTTCTCTATTTTTTGGAAGTGAACTTATTTTTAGGATTTTTTCATAACATCTACATTCAGACAGCCCATAAATAATGAGCAAGGCAGTAATTTCTCTTAATGGCATACAGATTTTAAACTGATGTTGTCTTTATTTATTTACAGTTTAGAAATTTTCTCAAGTGTATAAGACCACAAATTATATGTTTCTCAGTGGTTAAATGTGGTGGTTAGTGTTAAATTTGATTCTATGAAATGATGGTTTGTTACTGGTGAGTTTGTTCAGGTGTTCTAAATGCTTTAGAGTAAAGCCACAGAATCAAGGGCATATGTAAATACTGATATCATATGTGGTTGTATAATACATACATTCATTCTTTCACCAAACATCCCCGAGCACTTGCTATGTTCTAGCTGTTATGGTTTGGCAGTGAGCCAGTTCTCATCCCTGCCTTCATGAATCTTAGAGGCAGCTTGCAACTGACACTTATTAAGCCCCATTTTAGAGATGAAGAGATTGAGGCATAATGAAGTTAGAAAACCAGCTCAAGATCACAAAGCTCCTAAACCCAGAGTAGTTTGGTTCCAAGTTTTTGTAACATCTACCTCTTGCTGCTTGGAGCGTCATCCTCAGACCAGCATCATTAGCATCGTCTGGGAATTCGTTAGAAGTGCGGAATCTCAGGCTCCATCCCAGACCTACTGAATCAGAATCTTCATTTTAACAAGATCCCCGGGCTGGGTGCTTCCGAAGCACGTGAAGCTTGAGAAGCACTTCACTACCCTATTCTGTCTTTTCATTCAGAGGAAACGTGTGTGTGTTTTGGGATAAGATATAAGGGTTCAAGTTTAGTATCAGTGGTATTCATATGTTATCTTGAATAGTGCTAGTAATTTCCACTCCAAATTCCTACTAACACTCTCTGTCCCCTTGACCCAGCCAGGACAGTGGCTCAAGTAGAGGAGGAGAGATGCCCAGATCAATGTGAGTGAACATTTGGGCTCTCCTGGGAGCAGATCTTTAGGAACTAGGATGGGGTGTGGCCCATGGGTACCAGAGGCGAACCTGACCTTCCTTGCGATTTTGAGTGGCATTGCCTGTCCCATGGAAGCATTACTTCTCAGTGTTTGTATTGATGCCTGGAAGGGTATGAACTTCCCCAGGGACAGTGAGGAGTGAGGAAGTAGGCAAAGAGGAAGGGCCATTTGGGTTTTAATTTCAGAATTGCTAGGAGCTAAGTCAGGGATCTGTAATGGACTCATTTTCCCTTTCTGCGTGGCTCTTTTCTTGTTGCCAATTGGAGTTAATAATCTCCCGTCCTAACAGTCCGTGGATCTGAGGGAAGATTGATGTCACCTCCAGAATCTCTCCACTGAGCTCTTGCTTTGTCTTTTTCCATCCTTGCATTCACTTCTACACGTAAAGTGGTGTGATCATTCTTGGATACCATTGGTTTGCCTGAATTTCTTTTATGAATATCGGGAGTTCTTCTGCACAGACCACCTTTCGCTCATTCATTTACTGGATCCCTCTCTCAGCTAGGTTTCTTTTCATAGCAAATATGATCCTGGGTTTGTGAGACTTGTCCTTCCGAGAACCAAAAGTCATAATGAATTAACCAGAGCCAGAAAGACCTTGTCTAGAGCCTCCTTTTATATCTCAAGGGCATTGAATTTAGGCTCCAGCACCAATGAGCTTTGACCTCTGACAGTCACTGTGCTCCTTTAAGTGGGTATAGTGAAGCCAAATGGAGCCTTGAGAGGTATTAAGTCATTGAATAATGCATCTTATCCAGTTTGGCCTTTGAAGGATGCAGAAGGACAGAGAAGCATATGATAAATGGTTTGAATCTGAGTTTCTAGAGCATCTCTTCTGTCTTGAAAATTGCTCTGAGGAAACTAGGACAATTGAGCCTCTGCCTTTTACAGATATGGTAACAATCAGTTTCCATATTTGGATTTCTCTGCCCAAGGTGAAGAATCTGTTTATCCACACGTCTTGCATTTCCATTGTCTTTGGATTCTTCAAACCCACAGCCATCTTTACCATTGTTTACTTGCTAACCAGATAAAAGGCCGTGTTGAGGTTGTCACTGGCCTGGCAAGAACAAGGAATGGAAGAAAAATAAGGTGGAATCTGTAAACAGCCATCTCTGTCCTGAAGCCTGAACTGCAGAAGGGAAATCATCAGCCCAGTCAGGCGAGGATTGCGGAGAGAAGTTGGAGGGCCTACTCTTGTGGAACTTGATAGCGGAAGCCTTCAGCCTCTAGGGCACTGTGAAGGGCTTGAGGAGATGCATTTACTACAGGTTGATGCCAGTGTCGTTTTTAGGAGTCTGGGCTGTGAAGAGCCAGACAGTTGAATAGGAGTACACAAAGGAAAAAGGGAGCCCGTGCAAGAGGATGTCGGAGTAGAGGAGTGTGCTGGGAGCCAGTATGGCAGAGCTGTGTGTGCACGTGGAGGCTCAGAGGCTGGAAGCCCTGCTGTACTGTTTAACATCTGCATCTCTCCCGGCCACAGCTCTCTGCTCTTTAACCTCCCTTCTGCCTCCCCTTTTCCTCTGCACAAAAGTTCCAGCAAGAAGTAAATAGCGATTGGAAAGGATAGTGAACCTGTTGGCAGATTTTTTTTTTTTTTTTTTTGGACTCTCTGGAGGGGGAGAACAAAGCAGAGAGACATTTTGAAAGTACAGTGGGTGCCAAGAAGAGCCTGAGGATGGAGGATCAGATGGAGCACAGAAGCACCTCTTCAGCAGCAAGAGAAAAGGAGGCCTCCAAGGTTTAAAACTATTGATTGGGAGATTGGATTTTGTAAAGAAGAGCCAAGAGATGCCAGGCCTTCCTAGAATAGAATCAGAATTGATGGTATTGCATATAAGATTGTAGATACATTATAAGGAAAGAGTAAAGTTAGGATTTGAACATCCTAAATCCGATTTGGTGAAAGGCAAAGCCCCAGCCTTCAGGCTCTGTCATCATTTCCCTACCAAGTCCCAGCAGTGGTTCAGACCTTCCCAGGAAGCCATAGGATCTTGACATTGTTCCCAAGTAACTGGGAACGGTTTGCTCCAGGATAAGATGTGCCTAAAGTCTCTTGAATCTGGCCCCTTTTTTCTGAATGATGCTGTGAATAATTAGCCGTGTTTAGCATTTTTGTTTTAATGTACCATCATATTTATGTCACTATTTTTAAAAAAAACTATTAAAAATTTTGCATGTCGGAGAAGAGCCTTATGATGTCATCTGTTGTTTTGTCACATCCCCAAGAGAGAGAAAGGCTTGTAAATACCAGCTGTTAGGGGTGTGGTCCTTTCTCTTCCACTTAGGACTCTAAAACAGTTCTCTAATCACATTGTTCCCATGTTTGAGAACTCCCTATTAGTTCCCTATTATCTACTCTGGCATGTGATAAACTCCTTAATAGGCCAGTGGAGGCCCAAACGGCTGGCACTGCCCTCCTCCTTGAAGCCCCACACCCCCTCTCCACTCCAGCTCACTGAGCCAAATCATTCCCCAAGGATTTCATGTGCACTCACGTTCCTCTGCCTTCGCACATGGCCTTACCTTTGCTTAGGAAGCTTCTATTAATTCTTCAAGACCAAGATCAAATTTCATCTCTGCAGGGCTTGCTGGAATTCCCCCAGACAGGCACTTCCACTCAGGACCTCATGTTGCCCTGTGCTCATGCCTTTATGGTGCCATTAATCACAGTGTATGCAGAGGACTTATCTATGTGTCTGTCTTTCCCACTGGAAAGTCGGGGACTTGCTTGTAATGCTGGGTGTCTGCTAAGCACGAAGCATCCTTCCTGGTCCCAAGCAGATGTCCCATCATCCATGGGTGGTTGGATTTCAGAGATGAAGGGCCCTTAGAGATCTAGTTCAACCCTCTGCTTTTACAGACTCAAAACTCAGAGAGGGGAAGTGCTTTGGCCAGGGTCACACTGCTTGAGGACAGCCTTGGGACCTTGGCCAGGAGCTGGTACTGCTCTAGGGGAGGCCAGTGTTAGCCTCTTCCTATCTGCATACTCTGTGGACAAACTTCATCCATTCTTGGGACCTCAGCTACCACTTTTACCGATGGCTCAGAGCCTTCCTTCCTACTCCAGTCTCTCCTGAGCTCCAGTGCAGCATTTCCAGCTGAGTCCTGAATGACTCCATCTGGATAGATCTCAGTTACCTCAAACTCAGCACATCCAAAACAGATCTCATCATCTCTCCCTCTTTTCTCCTTACACTCTCTCTTCCTGAGTCTTCTGTCCTATATAATGGCATTATCATCTGCCTGGCAATCTACACTATAAACTGTTACACTGCACCCATCCTCCTGCAGCTGCACCCATCACTGAAAATTACCTGCTGTCTTTTGAATTTCTCCCCTCTCTCCATTCCCTGCATGTACCCATCTTTTTTCTCATTTGAACTTCACATTGGCCTTGCTGT